GACACGCGTAGATTTACCACTGACTACCGGTATGGTGGCAGTTTTACTATGCACTGTACATAGCGCATGCACTCTTGACCTACCCGATCCGCGCTTGCATAGAAGCCAGGCATCTACGCGCGACAGGCTTATATGCATTGACCCGTTTGATTTTCAGGCTTCTATCCGCGATGTGCTTGTATGCAAACCTGGCTTTTATCCGCGACTTTACGGTACACACACACACACACATGCACAAGCACATGAGCTTTGCTAACACCGCTGCAACATACGGTAGAATTCTGCCGGGACGAACCCCATGGGCCGCCACTGAGCACAAACGTGTACTCAGTAGCCAAGGTGCATGAAATGATCCAGTCCCTCAAGTTCGCGCCGGGACTCGCGCAGCCCTAGACCTGCAAACACCGGGCTGCGAAATGGTGCAAGGCGTGAACCTGACTCACGTGACCGGATTTCATCCACCAGTACTGGGCTTCTCATCTTGACATTTTTTTATTTTTCATTTATTTTTTACTATTATTCACAAACCCAACTCGTAAAATAAATAATTATGTGGACAAAAACAAACAGGTACTAAGTAGGGGCTGCACTGGGCAGCAGTGATGGTCAGGGACATACATGGCTGGTAACTGAAATCCGACCCCCGAGCGGTGCATTCACATTCTAGCGGTCTCTAGTTCCTAGTTTTACTATCCCGTGTTGGGTCTTTGCGATGTGAGCACACCGCTCAGGGGTTGGATTTCAGGTGCCAGCACTGTATTTCAATAATTATGGATGATGACACGCACGCTCCTGACAATGTGCGTTCAGTCAGACCTCGCTTAATTAACCGCACACATCCGTTTTCCAAAAAAAATATCCGGATAATCGAACACACATACTGTATGTATGCATGACACATGCTGTAAATCGGAAACGAACGATTTTCTTCCGGATGGCGAGAGATCCGGATAAAAGAGGACCGGGTAAGCAAGGTCTGACTGCTGTGCTAAGAAAAAGTATGTCTTTCAGAGTACAAAGGCAGAAGGGAACAGATTAAATCGGCTAGGTCATTGTTGCAACGCCGTGTTGCATGCACATAGCAAAGCGAAGGAAACCCTCGGACGGCTGATAATCGGTACATCATCTGGCTAAAAACCCAGGTTCTGCCGTTGTGGTATTGCTCCATCATTGTGGAGTTGAGCACTCCAGGTAATCTGGAAATTCTCGCTTTCGCCTTATCAGAAGACGTGACTAAGCACGACTACCGTATATTCTCTAATATAAGCGCCGTGCTTATATTTATATCATGCATGCAGCATTGATTTCCACCAAGATCGTGCTAATAATAGAGACTGTGCTTATAAAGTTTCGAAAGGTGCTCACAGTGTGCTAGTATTAGAGACTGTGCTAGTAATGGAGACCTGTGCTTATAATAGAGAATATACGGTATGTCTTACTAGAGCATGTGCAGAGCTCTCAGTAGGCTGCTCTAGTGCTGCTGCATCGCGCAATGCCCGCTACTTTTCGTAGTTTGAGCACTCTGGCGCTAGAGCGACGAGCTATCTTTTACTGTCTGTGGTGCCTCCTTTGCACCATGGCTGGCCCGGTACAGTAGCTCGGCCTACTTAGCTCGTAGCTGTACTGATGAGGCCTTTATGGCCGAAACAGCTTGCTGTCTACAGCATCGGGTACTGAGCAAGAGTATGTATCACTATTACCAGCAAAAACGGAAGTTGCCCAAGGTTTTCATTGTGTGCCTTTGTGTATGCCGCTCTGCCTGAATCAGGTATTGAGCACTTTGTGTATGCCGCTCTGCCTGAATCAGGTATTGAGCACTTTCTGTATGCTGCTCTGCCTGAATCAGGTATTGAGCACTTTCGCAGAACCTAAGCGTACTGCCTCTGTGTGACATGTATTACGAGTTGCACTGAATTCCTGCGAGGAGCACCTACCCGCGGAGTTGTGCACCCAGCTCTCCCTGGAGCTGCATCGTCAAATCTCCGCTTGCCGGCACTGGCTGTGCTATGCGGACATAGCGTGTGTACACCGCTGTACGTATCACGGTCCTTCAGGCTGCTGGGAGTGCGAGGAGCTGACTGGTTTGGCCATTCAACATTCTCATATTGTGGGTTTACCTGACAACGATAACAACAGCAAAACAGTACAACAGCGCACACGTGTGCATACACACATGAGACACACGCACCCGCACGCACGCACACACACACACACACACACACACACACACACACACACACACACACACTTGTACTTGTACTTGTACTTGCTCACTGCCAAAACTGGTCACGTGGGTCTCCCCGGGAGAGGGGAGAGAGACTCAAAAGGAATCTTGGAAAGATGACTCAATTGGCCATTGAACCACCCAGCGGCCGACACCCCCTGAAATCCCCAAACTAGGGTGGACTTGAAATGATCCCACTTACGGGCTCACCACACCTCAGTAAGTGGGTGAGGACAAGGTGCAGAAAAAGGATTGACGGCATCAGGGTATCCGTCCCGGGATCCAACTGCAGGTACCCCTGCCCCCAGTGAAAGTAATACTTGGTACTAGTGTGGGTGGCTAAATCAGAGTGGATCTGATATAAGCTTCACTAGCACCATTGATTACACACACACACACACACATACACACAAGCACACGCGCGCGCGCGCGCACACACACACACACACACACACCGGCATACACACACACACACACACACACACACACACACACACACACACACACACACACATGCATACACACACGGTCATACCTCCTCCCGTACAACCTTCTCCAAACTGGCCTGCGTGCACCCCATACTACGTCGTACTCACCTTTTGTCTCCTTTCGTCACCTTTTGTTCCGTTGGCCTGGGTAGCTACTTGCGCGCCCATATTTGCCATAGCTACCCAGGCCCTTTATCTTGCCGCCCTCACTTGATCTCTCTCTCTCTCTTGTCTCTGTCTTCCACAGTGTAGTCGTTCCATTCGTCTTGGTCTCAGTCTCTCCGTCTCTATAATAAATGCCGTTCCCACCTAACCTGTTCCCGTTGTCCGTTCGTTGTCTTGGAGAGTATGACTTGACTGTATCCCAAATCTTTAATTACCAGATTTTGTATGCCTCGATCTATTTCCTTAGCCTATCCTCGATTAACTGCTCCCTCTACATAAAGTTGTCATTTCATTCTTCTTGCAGGAGATCCCCTCGACAGGCCCAAAGCCTTTGGGAAATCCTTTTAAATATAATAAAATACAAAATACCCGTCCTACTTCATACCCAACAATACATAATACTATACATTGCAGACATGTTTATAAATCGAATGTGATGTAAATCGAAGGTCCTGCTTCTTTCAAACATGCTCCACACACCGACTTCTGCCTGTAGAAATACCATAGAAACCGTTTTGAATATCCAATGTAGGCAATGTCGTGTATAGTGCTTGTCGCCGCATTGTCTCTCGCCGTACTGTCTGTGTGTCTGTGTGTCTGTGTGTCTGTCTGTCTACCTGTCTGCCTGTCTGCCTGTCTGTGTGTGTGTGTGTATGTGTATGTGTATGTGTGTGTGTGTGTGTATGTCTGTCTGTCTGTGTGTCTGTCTGTCTTTCTATCTCGCTCTCTCTTTCTCTCCCTCTCCCTCTCCCTCTCCCTCTCCCTCCCTCCATCCGCCTCTCTCTCTCTCTCTCTCTCTCTCTCTCTCTCTCTCTCTCTCTCTCTCTCTCTCTCTCTCTCTCTCTCTCTCTCTCTCTCTCTCTCTCTCTCTCTCTCTCTCTCTCTCTCTCTCTCTCTCTCTCTCTCTTTCCGTACTGTCTCTCTGTCTCTCTCTGTCTCTGCCTCTGTCTCTCTCTCATCTATATGCGCATGCTCGTTGTAAATATAATCCGTCCTTGTCTTGTCCCTCAATGGACTGCTGCGTGGCTTGCAGGCCGAACATAACAGGTAAAAACGGCAATATCTTTGGTACTTAGGAACATTGAAGATGTATAATAATGCCGTAGGTGTGTACATGTCTGCAAAGACGTAAAAACGCACTGCGTATCAAAACTACTGTATATATTCACAAATTTTCGGTGTGCTTCTATTTTCGGTACTTTCGGTGCATCTGTTTCATACGTAAAATTTCAATACACTGAACAAACACCAACACATATAATCCAATAGGGAACTGCTTCTCTGTACCGAAAATGTCTGTTCACCTAACCTGGCCTCTTGCCCTCACACCAAAAATATTGAGCACCGAAAATTTCTGAAATGAGAGTATACCCTACACATTGGCAACAATTGTAGAACTGTTAGAAAAGCAAATAGACAAATTACCCAGTGACAAAGAGACTACAGTCCTCCTATCCCGACTTACCTTCATGTCATCTCCGCTCTCCAGGGTATACCGTGGAGCGAAGTTTCGCCAGTAAATGGGATTGGGCTGTGTTGGCATCGTGAAGACAAACACAATGTCGGCGCAAACATATTACGAACACACGTACGCACACACGCATGCACACAAACACACACACAAACACACACACACACACACACACACACAGACACACACACACACACACACAAACACACACACACAAACACACACACACAGACACACACACAGACACACACAGACACACACAGACACACACACGCACGCACGCACACACACACACACACACACACACACAAATGCACGCAACGCTATGAGTAATCACGGCGGGCAACGGACCCCGCAAGGGATGTACCAGTTATGGTGCTGTCACCAGGATCCAAAATTAGACTTCAAGTAATAATATTGTGTTCTGATGTCTTGCCAAAACTGTTGCAGGATGCCTCCCAAGCGCTCAGCAGTTTCAAATGATTAGCTTCACGAGTCACACAAGGTGTTGACCAGCTCCATGTCTGCACAGAGCGTGAGAATTACCGTAATCTACGGAGAAAAAACCGCACTGGAGTATAAGCCGCACCCAGAAGTGTTTCACGAAATACAGATATCTACCCGGTTTATCACCATTCATTTGACTAACGTAGTATAAGCCGCACCGACCTTTTTTTTGGGGGGGGGGGGTAAATTATGAGCTTCTAAAAAGTGCGGTTTTACTCCGGAAAAATCCCTTCTACTTTACTCCACTAGGTGCACAAAAACAAACGCAGTTCCAATGGGGTCAAAATTATAAATAGCTGCCACTTGGAGAGACTAAAATGTCCCAGTGCTTGACTAAATGATTCAGCAAATTTGGCTGAACAAACCTTAGGGGAAATCTAGAAGGAACCAAAGAAAGGAGAAGTCAAGCCTTAGATATCCGACCATGCCCTTACAAGAAATGTATTCTTAGATACTGTGGAATATTGCATGCTTGTCAGATAGTGCATGCTTGTTAGATATTGCATGCTTGTTAGAGATTGCATGAATAAGAGTATTGTCACAAACTAATGGTTCGCACCAAGCATACATACAAGCATACAAGCAATTGATTATACAGTCTTCTTTCTTCTTTCTATCGTGTCTTCTAAAGTATTTTACTTACCTTTTGCGCCATGGTACGCCTACGACGTTCCCATGGTCTTCACGTACGACATACGGTTTTCTAGCCCTTTTTCCTGGAGCTTGTCTCCTCGTGTCGTTTCTGTTTTCATTGGTTTTGCTTTACGTTGTCTAATGATAAGTTACAGTTTGAGTCTGTGAGTCTAAGAGAACCCAAGATGCGCTCGCGTTGAGCCAAAGCAGTCTTACAGATACGAACTTAGAAGTTGCGACTTCGACGATCTCACTATCCTGTGTATTGAGCAGCGAGTGGCGCTTTCTTGCAGGTTTGCCGCGTGGAAGGTGCGATGTGTTCCTCGTGTGCTCCGGATGGCAGTCGTGAATCAGTCAAGTGTCAAGTTTGGCAAGAAGCGTGTGTTCCTAGTTGGAACAATCAACTTCGTGTAATCTTAGATAGTTCGGATATCAGTTTTCCAAAGAAAGCGGGAAAGATGAGTTATAGCGGCATCCCTTACCGTCATATCGTCCAGGTTGCCGAAAGGACAATGTGAACCATGATGTTGCGCGCTCTGTTGTTTTGTCTGCTTTTGCATTGTGTGGAAATGGTTAGGAACACAGGAACACACAAACACACACATAATGCATTCATGCAGGCATGCAAACACACACATACACACGCACACCCGAACATGAACACACACGCACACACACACATGCATACACTCTCTCGCGCGTGCGCACACACACACACACACACACACACACACATACGCATACATGGTCGCCCCCCCCCCCCCCCCCCCCAATGCAGCATGACAGTGAGGGGATGCATGAATGAATGAGAGTGTGAGTGACAGTTCCGTGTCCGAGAGAACAACTAGCTAAACCCATTTATGGGTTGATACGGTATCGTCTGAGATCATAGTGTATGGGTTGATACAGTATCGTATAAGGCATAGTGCATGGGTTGATACAGTATCGTATAAGGCCATAGTGTATGGGTTGATACGGTATCGTATAAGGCCATAGTGTATGGGTTGATACGGTATCGTATAAGGCATAGTGCATGGGTTGATACAGTATCGTATAAGGCCATAGTGTAGGGGTTGATACGGTATCGTACAAGGCATAGTGTATGGGTTGATACGGTATCTTATAGGCCATAGTGTAGGGGTTGATACAGTATCGTATAAGGCCATAGGGTATTACCAAATGGGGAATGTAGAAGAAATGCATATGAGTATGTTGGGATCAGCAATGCACTGTTCAACACCCTACACAACCATAGATCAGCAATGCACTGTTCAACACCCAACACAACCATGGATCAGGAATGTACTGTTCAATACTCGTACACAGTCAACGCCAGGTGGCCGTGTGGGGTGCCACGTGCACGAACTAGGTCATTTTGTGCTGGGCTTTTTTGGGGGTTTTACATCATCAACCGAACAGACAATGATGATCATCCGTAAAAGGAGTTTTCGCAGTAGCTTTTAAAACCGCTCCAATGTAATCCCTGTATTGTGCAGTGGTGGTACTCGTAACTGAAATCCGACCCCAAGCTCGCTGCACTCACATTGCAAAACAGACCAGCATGCGCATGTACAATACAAAGATAGAGACTGCAAGAATCGGTGCTGCATCCTAGCATCGGGTGAAGGATTTAAGTCGCCACGACTTAAGTTCGATGAGTACCTATCCACTGGGTCTTTATCGTTTACTACCCTGACGATGGGGGCGGGGGGAGGGTTGGTCAGGCCTGAAAAATATGGTGGCATATAGATCGATTTGAATCGCAGTAAAGAAACTGTTATTGGACTTGAGGAGTGAAGTCTCCTACAATGTCTGTTGGAACGTACCTGCAAAGCGTTACGCCTAGCACCTGTTGAAAGTTGACTGTCAATTCTCTCTTCACTGGCACCTGCGATGCCACTCAAGCCTAGTGGTGATGCTAAACGGCTGTACATGTGCAGATGTGCGGAGCCCACTGCGGAGCCGGCCGCACTACTGCCTGGGGTGCCAACCTCTTCATAGAGGGGGTTTGGCTGCGAGTAGAAAGAGAGGGAAAGGGAAGGAGAGAGAGAGAGAGAGAGAGAGAGAGAGAGAGAGAGAGAGAGAGAGAGAGAGAGAGAGAGAGAGAGAGAGAGAGAGAGAGAGAGAGTGAGAGAGAGAGAGAGAGAGAGAGAGAGAGAGAGAGAGAGTGAGAGTGAGAGTGAGTGAGAGAGAGAGTGTGAGAGAGAGAGAGAGAGAGAGAGAGAGAGAGTGAGAGAGAGATTGAGAGAGAGAGTGTGTGTGCGAGAGAGAGAGAGAGACCGGTACAATCATGCACACATACACGCGCATTTTCAGGCACACCGACACACCCAGACACACAGGTACACATACACACGCGAACACACATACACACAAACACACACACATACATGCAAGCTTAAGCATTAAAAGTATGAGTAGGGCTAGAATTTAAAAAGCTTTTGGACATACGAGTCCCCTTTCACGGCCCTTGACCCTGCGAAACAGAAACAAGCGATCTCAGTTACAAGGCAACAGACGCAATGCCTGTAACAACAGTGTTGCCGAATGTGGTAGTCCCACTGAACTATGGCTGATAGTTGCATGACTCTTGTTGTAATGTATGTTTTGTCTCTGTCATTGATGCGCTTTCAGTAATCTGCTGATATGCTAGAAGCATCCTAGACCTACCTGCACTGTGTTCCTTCTGTACGCATTCGCCACATACTTGGCATGCCCTATCCCTAGCGCTGGGTAGTACCATGCAGTCTACCAGTGACGTAGGTCTCAGGTGATACTTGTTGTAGTGAGTGTAGATATTGACGGATCCTGGCGCAGGATCGAGGAGATCGAGAGAGAGAGCCCGAGAATGGCTTCCAGATCCTTAGTGTCCTAATTTATTATCCCGAACCGTTTTCCTTGTATTTATTCTTATTGCATGTATTGATTAATCCCATTGTTGGATTGAACCGTGTTGGCTGGTGTGAACTGAGTGACGAGTTGACTGAAACATTGGCGCAGTGAACAGGATTCTTTTCTTAGTAAGTCACTCGTTGAAGTTTGTAGTTTTCACCACGCACGTGGGAAATGGCAGAAAAAGTAAAAGTCGGCGTCCGCCTTGACCTGGACCACGAGCTGGGAAACGATCATTTCCTTACTTGGCGTAGTCAGTTGGAGATTGGCTTTGCACTCCACGAAGTGAAGGATCAGGCGAAGCAGTATTTGGCAGCAGCTGCCAATTTAGGCGAGCCAGCAAGTCACTACTTATGGCAGAGCTACCCGACAGTGCCAACTACTGCAACTAATCCCTACAACGATCTTATCAAATTGTTCCAAGAATATTTCGGCTCGAAACAGAGCGCAGCGTCCCGTTTGGCGAAATTGTTTGCAGTCGAGCAACGTCCTGGGGAGACTGTACAGGCCTTTCGGCTGCGGGTGCAAAAAGACATGAGGGTTTGCAACCTGACCAGCACTCGTACTGCCGAGGAACTACTGGGAGTTGTGGGAGTCCACCTGTTTGCACGGGGGCTCAGCTCTGCCAGTGCCCGAAAGAGTGTCTTGGAGCACGATGCGCAGGACTTGAGCTCCGCCGCAGCCAAGGCGCGGGCAGTGGTATTAGCTGAAGAGGGTGCCAAAGAAGCACCAGTGCCAGAGGTCAGCTATGCAGCTACGCGTCAACCTGGACATGCACCATTGCCAGCATCAGGCTGTGGATATTGTGGAGAGACGCACGCTCCAGGCAAGCCGAACTGCCCAGCAGCGCGTATGTTCTGTGCCCAGTGTGGGCGTAAGGGACATTTTGCATCGGTGTGCCGTGCCGGATCTGGTCGAGTGGACCGCAGTGCCCAGACCCAGTCGCAGAGCACGTCATCCAGGCAACACAACCGATCAGCACCAGCCGTTTCGTCACTCCGAACTGGTGGAGCATCACCAGCCGTACAGTCCGCCCAGCCACCAGAGGCCTATGAAACATTCGGGGTACAGGCAGGGAAGACCGGTTTCACTCTACCTCTGAGGCAGGGAACATTGGACTGCCGACACACCTTGTCGCTAAGAGTGGACTCTGCCAGCATGGTTTCCATCATCCCTAAGTCATTACTCCCATCGGGGTACGTCCTGTTACCGCCGCCATGCCCACTCCAGCCAGTGGGGACGCAACGCATAACAGCTGTGGGCGTGTTTGAGGGTAACCTGAGCTATCAGGGCCGCGAAACGACTGAGACTATCTTTGTAGTCGATGACGCACAATGCACTGTGCCAGCATTACTGGGAGAGCAGGCCTCCATCCGTTTAGGTCTTCTGGCATTGCCGATTTCAGCAGTTGAAATCCCAGCCTGTGCCGAGGGCCTAGCGTCACTCCCTGCTATGCGCGGCCCGATTACAATCGGTCTCGATCCGGATCACCCTCCGTCTCAACAGTCATCTCGACGGGTAGCACCGGCACTGCTCACCTCGCTACGCCAACAACTACATGCATGGCTAGAACAAGGAGTGGTCGAGATGGTGGAGGAAGTAACGGCTCAGGACTTTGTTTCGCCACTGGTAGCCACACCGAAACCCGACAAAACCATGCGCTGGTGCGTAGATTTACGACAAGTCAACGCAGCGGTAAGGCGACCGGGTGTGCAACTCCCAACAGCTGATGAGCTTCTATCTCAACTGTCGGGCGCACAGATGTTCTCGAAGCTTGACCTGAAGTCCGGGTATTCTCAGCTCGAGATCTCACCTGAATGTCGCCATGCCTTCGTGGTCGCCTCACCCTTGGGGTACTTCCGTTTCTGTAGTCTACCGTTCGGCGTGTCCAGCGGCCCTGAATTATTTCAACGTAAGATGGAGCAAATTCTGGCAGGATGTGAAGGGGTAGTCATCTACCTAGACGACATTCTGATTTATGCTCCATCATTGGAAGAGCATGATGGACGCAAGGCAGCAGTCCTGACGGCTCTCAAGGAGTACAATGTCACCCTGAATGACAAGAAGTGCGTCTTCCAGGTCTCAGAGCTGGAGTTTCTGGGACATCACGTCTCGGCGAAGGGCATTTCGCCAGGTCCATCGAAGGTTGAGTCACTCAGTCAGATGTCGGATCCCACCAATGTGGCCGAACTCCGAGCATTTCTGGGCTTAGCAACCTACGTGGCAAAGTTTATTCCTAACATTGCCTCGGTTGTCGCTCCGATGACAGCACTATTGTCTGGCGAGTGGAATTGGACGTCGGCTTGCCACACCGCAGCTGAGAAGATACGCAGTCTGATTACTAGTGCACCTATTCTGGCGCTATTTGACCCAACGCTGCCGACCCGCATCGAAGTTGACGCGTCTGGCCATGGCCTTGGAGCAGTACTCCTACAGCAGTCGCAAACAGATGGTCAAGAGTGGCGACCTGTCTATTACGCAGGCAGAAAGTTGTCAGATGCAGAGTCACGCTATGCAACCATCGAGCGAGAGGCACTGGCGGTCGCGTGGGGCTCTAATCGTTTCCGCAGCTTCATCACCGGCATGCCTGTGACCATTATCACTGACCACAAGCCACTGGTTCACGTATTTATGCCGTCGTACAAGCTAGCCTCAGCTAGTCTCCGAGTACAGCGCCTGGTGTTGAAAGTGCAAGACTTGACCCTAACCGTGCAATATCGCCCCGGCAAGTTGAATCACATTGCTGACGCATTGTCCAGGCTGCCGGCTGAGGATGCTGACCCGAGTTTCCTTCTCGTCCATGCTGTCACCGTGGCAGACGGTGTTTCAGCACATCGCCAGTTGATTGCCAGAGAAACAGCGCGTGACTCCACTCTGTGCTCAGTGCGAGATGCGCTGCGATCGGGTAAATGGCCGTCGGCGACAGAGCTCGCACCGTACCAAGCCCTTAGTCCGGAACTCAGTGTGTGGCCCTTTCCGAACTCGTCGGACTTTCTCATTCTGAGAGGGGAAAGAGTGGTGATTCCAGCATCGGCAGCTCAACACGTACTGAACCTGGCTCACGAGGGACACCTTGGTCGAGACAGGACACTGGCTCAACTCAAGGAGACTGTGTGGTGGCCCGGTTGGAACACGGCAACTCGACATTTCCTAGCCAGCTGTTCACCATGTGCGACAGAAGCTGCTATACGACCAGTACCGCTGAAACCACGCGACCTACCTCCACATGCCTGGCACACCGTCGCTATTGATGTGTTTTATTACCAGCAAAGCGCCTTCTTCAGCCTTCTGGACTTGTACAGTCGGTATCCAGCAGTTGTCCGCTTACCAGCTGAGAAGACCAGGGACATCATCAAGGCGCTGGAGCAGATCTTCACGCTGTTCGGCATGCCACGGCACGTCATCTCCGACAACGGTGCACAGTTCTGCAGCGACGAGTTCCGCAACCAGCTTGAATCGTGGGGCATCAGCCACGAACGCACTTTGCCTTACACACCACGTCAGAACCCTGTTGAGCGTCTCCACCGGACATTGAAGCAACATATGCGGAAATCCGGCATGCCACGAGCAGACGACGCCCTTCGTGTGGCGCTCAAAGCTGTTCGATCAGCTATCAACACCACTACCGGCAAACCGCCGGGAGATCTCCTACTACGAGGAGGTTATCGTACTCCACTCAGGCAGCTTCAGCCAGTAGATAACATGGCTACTGCCGAAGATGACGACGAGATAGACGAGGAAGTGAACGTGCATGAACGCGATGCTCAGCACAAGGCAGCATCCAAGGTGACTTTCGACGCAGCTCACCAAGCAAAACCCCGCACTTTGGTGCCTGGACAAGCAGTGTTTGTCAAGCAACCCTCTGGCTCAACTGACAAAGCTACCATCGTCACAGCAACACCACATGATGCAGTCATTACGACCGAAGAGGGAGTGACTTTCCGCCGTCATCTTGACCGTCTGCAAGTGGATCCGACGGAGGTAGTAGCAACAGCTACTCCGCTAGATTCCACAGTTCCATCAGCTCCCGGCAGTCCAACGGCCGCAACACCTAGTACTGTTCCGCCAGCTGCTGGCCGTCCGCAGCGTACGACTCGAAAGCCAAGTCGTTATCAGTAGA